GAGTCAGTCCTGCTGCAGCAGGTTCTATATGTTGTACAGATGTGCAGCTTTGCAGGTAGTTTAAGGGGACCCCCCCAGGCATGATATTTTTTTGTCTTTTTTTTTAACTTTAGGCCACAGGTGTGAAACTGGCGGCCCCCCAGCTGTTACCAAACTACCATGAGGCATTGCAAGATTGACTGTTACAAGCATGACTCCCAAAGGCAGAGGCATGATGGGACTTGTAGTTTTGCAACAGCTGGAGGGCCGCCAGTTTGACACCCCTGCTTTAGGCAATGAAAAATGGCCAATAACTAGAATATAAGCCTTCAAGATGGGAACTTTTGAATTTACAAGTTCGAGTCCCATAGACTTGCGTTGTATTCGAAGTTCACGGTCGAACAGTCATTAGGTTCGAATGGCCGACCGCAAACCGAACGCGCGCGCGCTCATCTCTCTTCCCACTCTGCTCTCTCCTCCTATCACGACTGACTGGCTCCTTGTGATGTTTTGTAATCTTTTAGTCTAAAGTGCGATTTGCGAATTGAAAGCACATCTAATGAGTGTGAATGTCAGGGTCTTAACACGTGCGAATTGCTGCAGCGCGATTTCTAAAGTAGTTCTTGCTTTACTTTTTCTGCAGTTTTGTTGCTTTTTCACATACATAGACTGTAATGGAAATCGTGCTGCAGATTGCAAGAAAATCGTTGAAATCGTTGAAAATCTTCACAAGTAGCAGTAAATTCTTCAGAAATCACGCTGAAGTTGCACACAAAACTCACGATTTTAAAATTGCAGCGGTGTGACCGATGACAAACTCTTTTTCTGTGCAGGGAATTACAAGAGATTACTATCAATCCCAGGTACTTACCATGCTTGCTTGTAATAAAATACAATTGATGTGTTTTTGAATAATTTGTGTCTTTTAAATCTGGAGTTGCAACCTTAGGTTCAGAGTGTTTACTATTATCTAGTTTTTGTTTTCCTCTTCATTGAAAGACATGCCGTACTCTCTGTCTTTCAGGGCATAAGTGACGACCCATTCTCCATCGCTGCTGTTGACTCCAAACCACCAAAGGAAAAGGACGAAGGGTCAGAGTACGGAGATCGAGAGCTCAGTATCCGCATAGGTAGAGGCGTCTCTCACAAAGGCAAGCATCCTATGTTGTCATATGCCACGCATGACCACCCCCCTGATAGTAGGGCTGTGTCAGACACCAGTTCCCCGGTCGTCGCCTGTCACTTCGAGCCATCTTGTCCTTTAAGTAAATGCTTTCTAAGTGGCTCTGAATAGGCTGTGATGTCAGCGGCAATCTGTTCTGTGTTTGCACTTCTCGCTCAGATCAGGCTGACTCACCAATCTGGCCGGTGCAGAAGATGTCCAGGGGCTGGTGACTGATGGTGGAATAATGACATGAATTTGTCAATCATCGGTCATGTGAATGAGAATTAATATGAACCTTCTAGACTGCTCTGGGAATGTTTTTCCGCTGTCTCTCCACGCTGTACTAGCAAGGCAAATTAGATCTGAACTTTGAATTTTAAAAGGGAATCCCATCATCCTTTAAAAAAATAGCTCAATACGGTTTCACACTCAAATTAATGGAGCAGAAAAACAAATTTTCAATCCCAAAAGCCTACGACTGATTCAATGATTTACCCTTAAAGGGTATGCATATCCCAAACTTGTTTTTGTAGTTTTGGGTAGAGTAGGGAAGCATTAAAACCCCTGGAAGTTTGGTTCCTGTCTGTGTACCGATTTCCCTTCCCAGAGGCACAATAGGAAGTGAGGAAATTTCCCAAAGTGAGGGGAGTTACCTTCTTAGATGGTTGTCCTCAGAACAGAAGAGATACCCCCATTGGAGGACATTTCTATGACCCTCTGTTCTGGTGGCTGTGTACCCTTGGGGACATTTTTCTTCACTTCCTGTGCCAAAGGCGCAATGAGGCAAATCTCCCAAAGTGAGGGGATTTACCTTCTTATATGGTTGTCCACAGAACAGAAGAGATTCCCCCACTGGAGGATATTTCTAAGACTCCCCATTCTGGCGTCTGTGTACCATTGGGGAAATTCATCAGTTCCTGTGCTAGAGGCATAATGAGGCAATCTCCCAAAATGAGGGGAATTACCTTCTTAGGTGGTTGTTCCCAGAATAGATGCACCCATTGGAGGACATTTCTATGACTCCCTGTTCCGGCTGCTGTGTACCATTGAGGAAATTTCCCTTCAATTTGTGCCACAGGCACAATAGGAATTAAGAAAATCTCCAAAAGTGAAGGGAATTGCCTTATTAGATGGCTGCCCCCCAAAACAGATGCCCCCATTGGAGGATATTCCTATGACCTGTTTTCTGGAGACAATTGTAACATCCGGTAGTCACCAGGACAAATAGGGTGAATCACCCTGGGGGGGGGGGGGGCAGTCGGCAGTAAAACCCTCACATGGGTTCTAACTCTTGCCCACTCCATCTTAAACTAAGTTTGGTCTTTATATATGCTTTAAGGCTTGGTTCACATGAACGGGTGTGAACAAGCACGGGCCTATTTCCGTGCAGTGTGTGCAGGACGGCCCGTTCATGTTAATAAACGTGGAAAAGAAGTCCCTGATTCTTCTCCAAAAATACACCATGCGGTTTCACTTGGGTCTGCAGATCTGTGGTGGTGCCATTAACAATCTTTGGCACTGCTGCAGGTCTGCTAAAGGACAGCATGTTTCTCTGCAATGTCAGGAAAGGGCAACGAGTTTCTCTGCAATGTCGGGAAAGGGCAGCGTGTTTCACTGCATGTCTGGAAAGGGCAGTGTGTTTCACTGCATGTCTGGAAAGGGCAATGCTTTTCTCTGCATGTTGGGAAAGGGCAACATTTTTCTTTGAATGTGGAGAAAGGGCAACGCGTTTTACTGCATGTCTGGAAATGGCAACGTGTTTCTCTGCCCATTGGGAAAGGGCAACGTGTTTCTCTGCATGTCTGGAAAGGGCAACGTGTTTCTCTGCCCGTTGGGAAAGGGCAACGCGTTTTACTGCATGTCTGGAAAGGGCAACACATTTCTCTGCATGTTCAGGAAAGGGCAACGCGTTTTACTGCATGTCTGGAAAGGGCAACACATTTCTCTGCATGTTCAGGAAAGGGCACCGCGTTTCTCTGCATGTTTGGGAAAGGGCACCGCGTTTCTCTGCATGTTGGGAAAGGGCAACACATTTCTCTACATGTCGGGAAAGGGCAACACGTTTCTTTGCATGTCTGGAAAGGGCAACGTGTTTCTCTGCCCATTGGGAAAGGGCAACGTGTTTCTCTGCATGTCTGGAAAGGGCAACGTGTTTCTCTGCCCGTTGGGAAAGGGCAACGTGTTTTACTGCATGTCTGGAAAGGGCAACACATTTCTCTGCATGTTCAGGAAAGGGCACCGCATTTCTCTGCATGTTGGGAAAGGGCAACACATGTCTCTACATGTCGGGAAAGGGCAACACATTTCTCTACATGTCGGGAAAGGGCAACACGTTTCTTTGCATGTCGGGAAAGGGCAACACGTTTCTCTGCATGTCGGGAAAGGGCAACACATTTCTCTACATGTCGGGAAAGGGCAACACATTTCTCTGCATGTCTGGAAAGGGCAACACGTTTCTCTGCATGTCTGGAAAGGGCAACACGTTTCTCTGCATGTCGGGAAAGGGCAACACGTTTCTCTGCATGTCGGGAAAGGGCAACGCTTATCTCTGCATGTCTGGAACGGACCATGCATTTTTCTGCATGTCTTGAAAGCACGCGATTGTACATGCATTTCCAACATGCAAAGGTCTGAACTTAGCTTAATGAGAACTGCTTCATTGGCCACTGCAGTGCTATTACTGAAGAGGTAGCTGGTCGGTGGCCGGGACTTGCTGATCCCATAACTGGGGTAGGCTAGCCCTTCGTCAAGAACGAATCCAGCATCAGAAAGGCACAAAGAACGTGGATAATAAGTGGAAGACCCTTAGACAGGAGTTGGGAAAAGTGCAATGTGGCTTACAGATTCGCTATAACTTGATCTGCAGATTCACATTGAAAACAAAAATGAGACGGGACTTCCCCTTTAAAAAAGTTTGTCTGTTGTACAGTGTGGAAATTCTTCGACAACCCTTTCCTCCTTTTCTATTTTCTATTTTTCGGATCTCTGTCGAAGCTTGCCAATGAACCGTGATTGGTCAAACCCTTGCTGCGATGTAGAAACATCAATACATGCATGGTGAACAGCTTATAAACTGAAATTCCAGTGCGTTGGGTTACACGGGGTCAAATCAACGCTACCTCTGATGGTTTCTGCCGCTCTGGGCTCTCACTCCCACAAAGATCAATTCTTGTGATTTATTTTCCTGAAGGCTCGGCAGCAGATCTGAACAAGATGTTAGTTAAGTGGGGTCACAGGGAGAATCAACGCCTACGAATGGCCAATGGGGGTCCTGGGGGCTCCAGGCAGGTAGAGTGTCAGTAGACGGATAGGCAGGCTGTGGCTTTATAGATCTGAATTCCAGATATTGCTCCCGGAAAATGTTATTGTTACATTGTTTTTCTTTTAGTTCCATCGTATCTTTCTGTCCTCTGTAGTGGAATTATGGGCAAAATCTAAAACGAGACATATGTTGCAGCATCTTCATAACAGGAAAATGATTCTAAAGGCTTAATTGAAAAAAAAAAAAAAAAACTGATGGGTTTAACCCTTCCCTACTCCAACAAGGCTATTTAACCACTAGCCTGCCGGGCACTCCCCCCCCCTTCCTGCCCAGGACAATTTTCAGCTTTCAGCGCTGTCACACTTTGAATGACAATTGCGCGGTCATGCAACACTGTACTCATATGAAATGTTTATTATTTTTTTGAGACAGATAGAGCTTTCTTTTAGTGGTATTTAATCACCTCGGGGTTTTTTATTCTTTGCTAAACAAACCAAAAACCACTGAAAATTTTGAAAAAAAAAAGTTTTTTCTTAGTTTTTGTTATAAAATTTTGTAAATAAGTAATTTTCTTTTCCCTTCACTGATGTGCTCTATTGAGGCTGCAGTAATAGGCACTGATAGGCTGCACAGATGGACACTGATAGGTGGCACTGATGGGGAGTCACTGGTAGGTGGCACTGATGGGCATTGACAGGCATCACTGATGGGCACTGAAAGGCAGCACTCATATATGGCACTGATAGGTGGCAGTGATTGGCACTGACTGGTGCTGTTAGGCAGCACTGATAGGCAGCACTGATGCGCACTGATAGGCGGCACTGATTGGCAGCACTGATAGGTAGCACTGACTGGCACTGATAGGTGACACTGACTGGCACTGATAGGTGACACTGAAAGGCAGCTCAAATGGGCACGGATATGTGGCATTGATGTGCACTGGTATGCACTGATATGTGGCATTGATGTGGCACCGATGGGCAGTGGCAGGTGGCATTGATGAGCACTGACAGCTGGCACTGATGGACACTGACAGGTGGCACTTCTGGGGCTACACAGATCATCAGGGTACACTGATGATCAGTACCCTGATGATCAGTGCACATGTCCCCTCTGAGTAATGCCGATTACCGGCTCTCCTCTCATATGACGTCCTCCCAGAACGAGAGAACCGCCTTGCGCCCGTCATTACCTCATATGGCGGGCGGGAGGCAGTTAAATGCCGACTTGATTTAGAAGACCTATATGCTGGCATTGGAAAAACTAGCTTAATGATGACAAAATGGTATCATTTTGTTATTGGGTGACAGCGCCTCTTTAAAATGTCGTAATTTGGATCACCTCAGTGTGACGCCCTGCCTTGCGGGTGTATTGGCAGTATACAAGGAGCCGACTCGGTTTCCAGTATCCTCTGAGCTACTTTCCAGTATTGTGAGGGTAGAATGCTGGTGGAGCATCTGGACCCCCTTGTTTCATCTCTTGTTTCATCTCTTGGCGGCACAACCCCGCAGCGTGCTCCAACCTTCTGCCACTTACTAGCTAATGAGGAGATCTGTATCTGTGCCTGGAATCTGATCCCTGTGTAAAGTGCGGAAAAAAAGAAATATATTTAGGTGTCCCCGATCAATCCCATTCTCTACTATTTGCCATTGCTATTTTTAAGTTATCTAATGCGAATCTGTGCTTTGTCCATTGAGGGACCCCATTCAGCACCAGGAACTGATGGCAATTCTGGTACTTGTGGTTATAGAGAACCTGCTTTTGTGACCACGCTGGAGCAATCGCTGCTGTCAAACATGGAATCCATAGCCTGGACCCTGGCAACTCCTAGCTGACAGAAGTCGTTCATTCCCCACAGTTGATCAAAGTGGTGGAGGAGCATAAGAAAGGTCATTGTATTCTTCTGAAGAAGACTACATTAAAGTTACCTTGTTGCTTTGACCTTTGTGGACATACTTGTATGGGCATGACCGAGCACCCGGTAACAGATGACCATCTCACTTGGTGGTATATTTCAGAATTTTATTGAAGATGTACAGGTGGAGTCAACGCATTTCGGAGGAACATTCACCCCCTTCTTCAATTTGTAGGTAGGCTACCTTGCGTTTCTAATATACCGGCTCTCTGGAAATACTGCAAACAGCATTCAGTCGCCTCCTATTGGAGTGTTGCCAACATATACATTGACATATCAACAGCCCTGAAGAACGGAGAGGCTTCTCCTCTGAAACGCGTTGGATCCACCTGTAACCTGTACATCTTCAATAAAATTCTGAAATATGCCACCGAGCTAGATGATCATCTGTTATCGAGTGGCCTGTCATACCCATTCAAGTTACGCCAGCTGAGACAGTGTTCATCCTCCTCAAAAAAGTAGCAGCCCTGAAATCTCGACCGAACATAGTACCATGGCCGCCTTTGAAGGATCAGTGCCCAAGAAGAAGCTCCCACCGTATTTATCACCTTTATAGCTATCAACTCATTTGTTGATTCACCAGTCCAGTGTGGTCTTTCGCACACACCATAATCTATGTGAACATAGGACAGGTACTCTTTGAGTCCCCATTGGAGCTCAAAGCTTCAAAATGCTCAACAATCTAAATCCCATGCTTTTAAATTGTCCCCGTTCACATCTGAGTGTTCAGGTGCCTGTAATTCAGGGGCCTGTTTACTCCGGGATCGCTAAGCTCTGCCCAATGCGTTTTGTCATATTGACATCATTTTTCATCCTTTTTTTTTTTTTTCCCTACACTGATCTGGCATGGATGTCATTTTTTGGGCCGGTCTAAAGATGAAGGAAGAGGAAGCTAGCCACAAATGGCGTCTGCTAGCCAAAATGGCAGCACAGGATTATAGGAGGAGGTGAAGAAGCAGGCAAGACTATAGTAGCTACAGTAATTGCAGCAGTTTTGTGTGCGGAGGAGGGGAAGGTCCACTTCTTATTTTTTTTTTTATTTTTAGTTTTGAACATAAGAAAGAAAAAAAAATATGTTCAGACCTCTATGAACGGCTTTCATAAAGTGACGCCAACACAACAAATTCCACATAGATTCGATCTGCAGTTTACGGACCGTATTCTCACAACTTATCCTCGTCTTTTTACTGCTTTTCTCTCCATTATGGACATATGAGAGATGTTTTGATGCCTCGGTAGGAAAACAAAGCAATGCTGAGAGTGAGAAGTAATCACACCACTGAGCATTTTATCAATACCATAAACTTTAGCCGACACTTCACGGGGAAGAGCTGAGTCATTGTTTGGCGCTGGGAGGTCTGTCCATCGTACTGATTGTATAAAAGCCTTGCAACTGATGACCTTTTTTTTTTTACTTTTTTTACAGTAGTAACAAGATTTCCTGACAGAGTGTATTAATCCTTTGTCTCTACTGTTAAAGCAGCTCATACCCTTAAATCCAGGTTGGCCAAAAACCATTTAACCTCATCTTTCCCCCTGCCCACTCACCCCCCCCCCCATCCTATCCATCACTACCAACAACACCACCATCAATCCCGCCCCGCAAGCCAAAGTCCTTGGCGTCATTCTGGACTCTAACCTTTCCTTCCAACCTCATGTCAAATCACTTACAAACACATGTAGGCTCCACCTCCGCAACATCTCCAAGATACGCTCCTTCCTTACCCCAGACACCACTAAACTACTCGTACACTCCCTGATTATCTCACGCCTGGACTACTGCAACTCCCTCCTCACCGGCCTACCCCAGTGCAGGCTCTCCCTGCTCCAGACCATCCTGAACTCAGCGGCCAGACTCATTCACCTCACCAACCGCTCCACCTCTGCCACCCCTCTATGCCTATCCCTCCACTGGCTCCCGATTGCCCAACGCATCAAATTCAAACTACTAACTCTGACCTACAAAGCCATTCACAACACTGCCCCTAACTACCTCACCCACCTGATACCCAAGTACCACGTACCCGTGCCCTTCGCTCCTCACAGGACCTCCTTCTATCTTTCTCTCTGGTCTCCTCCTCCCATGCACGACTGCAAGACTTCTCCAGATCCTCCCCCATCCTCTGGAACTCACTGCCCCAATCCATCAGACTGTCACCTTCCCTTCTTACCTTCAGGCGCTCCCTGAAAACCCATCTCTTCAGGGAAGCCTACCCCTCCCTCACCTAACAGCCGTTCTCCTTTATTCCTCCTACCACTCCATCCCCCACAGCCACTTCCTCCTGTACCACTACCCCTCCTTCCTAGATTGTAAGCTCGAAAGAGTAGGGCCCTATAACCCCTCGTGTACTGTTGTTGTTGCTGTTCTGTTTCTTATATTGTCCCCCCCCCTCTATTGTACAGCGCTGAGCAAACCCTTTGGCGCTATATAAACTCGATGTAATAATAATAACCTACCAGTATATTTTTTGGGTTGGAGGTAGAAAGCCACACAGATACATACATGCTCTCCCTCCTTTTGTGGTTATAACAGGGTCTACACTTCTGGGAAGATTTTTCACAAGATTTTAGAGAGCGTCTGTGGGAATTTGTGCCCATTTGTTAGGTCAGATACTGATGTTGGATGAGGGAACCTGGCTAACAATCAGCATTCCGATTCATCCCAAAGGTGTTCAGTAGGGTTGAGGTCAAGGCTCTGTACAGGATACTTGAGTTCCTCCACCCCAAACCGGTCAAACCATCTTTATTGAGCTGGCTTTTTACCTTGGGGCACAGTCATGGAGGAACAGAAAAGGGTCTTCACCAAACGGTTACCACAAGGTTGGAAGAGCACAACTCTCTACAATGTGTTTGTAGGATGTAGTATTAACCATACTCTTCACTAAAAAGATTTTGAACTCAGACATTTAGACATTTTAGACAACTGTGCTCTTCCAACTCTGTGGTGATAGTTTGTTGAAAACCCTTTTCTGTTCCAGCATGACTGTGCTCCTGTGTACAAAGTCAGCTCCATAAAGACATGGTTTGACCAGTTTGGTGTGTAGGAACTCGAGTGTCCTGTACAGAACCCTGACCTCAACCTTGCTTTTGGAGAACTTTTGATATAAGGTCTTTTCATCCAACATTATTACCATGCCCTTAACCCTACAGAACACTTATGTTCAGTTCTTCAATCCCTAAGGTGTTCAGTAGGTTTGAGGTCATGGAGGAACTCAAGTGTCCTCCACAGAGCTCTGACCTTAACCCTACTGAACAGTTTTGGAATGAATGTGAAGTTTTTACTGCCCTTACCTACTCCGCCAATAGAGCATTTGCGATATCAGGCACTGATGTTGAGTGAGACGATCTTGCTCACAATCTGCGTTCCAATTCATCCCAAACGTGTTCAGTAGAATTGAGATCAGGGCTCTGTGCAGGACACTCGAGTTCCTCCACACCAAACTGGTCAAACCATGTCTTTATGGAGCTGACTTTGTGTACAGGGCACACTCATGCTGGAACAGAAAATGGTCTTCCTCAAACTGTCACCATAAGTTTGGAAGAGCACAATTGTCTAAAATTTTTGTATGCAGTAGCATTAAGATCGCCTTTAAATCAAAACACTTGAACTTCAACTTTTTGGGTGGTTTCCACATACTCTTGGACATAAAGCATTACTTGCTTGTCTAATGTTTGAAATAATTCTCAGTTTAATCAATGAGCTGCCCAAGAGTGATGTTGGCTGAGAAAGGAAGAACTTGGGAGTTTGGGATTCAACCTACCAATATGTTTTTTGGGTTGGAGGTAGTAAGTCACACAGATACATACATGCTCTCCCTTCTTTTGTGGTTATAACAACCTCTACTCCTCTGGGAAGACTTTCCACCTGATTTTGGAGAATCTGTGCCCATTTGTTAGGTCAGATACTGATGTTCGATGAGGGAACCTGGCTAACAAGCATTCCGATTCATCCCAAAGGCATTCAGTAGGGTTGAGGTCAAGGCTTTGTACAAAGGGGCACAGTCAAACTGTCACCACAAGGTTGGAAGAGCACAATTGTCTACAATGTCTTTGTAAATCGACATACTTGAACTTCAACTTTTTGGGTGGTTTACACATACTCTTGGACATAAAGCATTACTTGCTT